TTACAAATAAGAATGGATTAACATGATATATGTTTGGAAAATTGCCGTTTTTGAGGTCTCTAAAACGACGAGTAGGTGTGACGTCCGCGTACTCAGTTCCAGGAGTTCCTAGAAACCTATTGCAATAAAAGGAAACTTATTACAGAAAGTGTGAATTGATTTGATCAATTGCGACGGACACATGTGCGCAAGAGATACCTATGACGTAAAACGTGAATCCGCGAATCTCCGTCATGTCAACGTGATTAATTTGAAAGTTGTGTTTACTTCGCGATGTTGGATGATAGGTATCGTAAACGTTCTGAGGTCATTACATTCCTTTTAGATGGTTTATTATGTAGGCATCCATTGAGGTTACGTTAACATTTACCTGTACCGTTCGTAGCGTAGTGTAATTAACATGTTCGTATATCATTTGCGTTAAAAATTTATTATCGGCCGATTTCCCCAAAATCATTTTTAATGATACGTTATGTACTAATATTAACGAATGTTGAATTAGAAGGACGTTTAGTCGTTTACCGTATACGAAAAATACAATTTTTAAATCTCATTAGCACAATTAGTCAATGGAACCAGATTTATCTTTATTGCAGGAAGTTTTTAATAGTACTTTTGGGCGATTACAAAAAAATAATCATTAAAATGTGGCGAAAGGTAACATTCACTGAAATTTAGTTGTTAATGGTTAAAGCCCAATTTCGTATGGACAATACCTACGCAATTTAATCCCATGTACGGTACGTTCACCTCGAGGCGCTGACAAGGTGCTTGTAGTTGCTCCTGAAAATTAGCCTTGATACAGGAAATATCAGGGACAGATGCAGGTAATTAACCGTTTGTATATAGATACTCATCATTGATCGCTATATAGGGGTTTTATTTGTTGAGGTTTAAGGAAACAGCCCATAAAACATATATTGTTGACAGTGATACTGATAAGTGATAAGATATGCAAATTTCCGCAATTGGTATCGCCTAGCCTAGGGTATCACTACTCTTTTTCCAGTAGAGTATGGTTCATCATCCATAAAACAACTGCTGATTATTCTGTCAAATCCGCTCGCGCCATATATTGTATTTATACAGGGTGAAAATGTTGTCTGGAACACTGAATATATCTTCAAAACAACATATTTTTGAAGGAACTTTTTATGATATAATTATAAAAAGGTTGCTACCAATGTATATGTACTTTAAGTTTGTGGTCAGTCCCTTACTTATGCATGGTGAAAATGTTGTCTGGAACACTGAATATATCTTCAAAACAACATATTTTTGAAGGAACTTTTTATGATATAATTATAAAAAGGTTGCTACCAATGTATATGTACTTTAAGTTTGTGGTCAGTCCCTTACTTATGCATGGTCATAACTATTTACCTAAATGTGAGTTTTTCTGATAAATTTGACATAGGTAATGAAAAATAGCCATTGAGAGAATATGCCCCCCCCCCCCCTTCTCCAAGCTGGCCACAAAATTAAAGTACATACATTGTTAGCAATACTACAATAAAGCTTCTTTAAAAAAATGTTGTTGTGAAGGTACCTATTTGTTTCAACTGTGTACAGGGTGGTCATTTGAAAACGAAACAGAGCCTATTTTGGGGACCTCAAAACATCTACGAAAAAATCCTCGGACCCTTCAATTTTTTATTCAAGGGGAATCATTTTTTTTTAAAAGCCCTAGCGGGGATAACAAGCGCCCCCAAAATTTTAAATGGAATGTGGATTATAACCCTTAAGTTTTAAATCGCTTCTAATTTGTTTAGCTGATACAGGGGCTGATAAAAGTTACAAAAACGTGTCAACATTTTCTTATGGAAAAAAATGCTTGTAAATGAATTAGTTAAATAACAAAAATAAATACAACAATAAATACAAAAAATGTTGTTCCCCTACATTTTGAACCGTACTTGTTGATTTTTTTCTTTTTAATAGTCGTAGGTACCTATTGCAATGCAACGGAAATCTTGGTTATTGTTGAGAGCGTTACTATAGCAGCATTTTGAAGTTTAATAGTGATTGTCAATTACTGTTGTCACTGACAAATAGCGTTTTAAAGTTATTTAGTTGCAACATCGGTACATTGAACAGTGATAGTGGTTTATTGCTGAAAGAGTTGAAATAATTTCTCTCGTAATTTCTCTTTTTTTGCGAACAATGAAAATGCTAATTGAACTGCCCAGCTGTTTAATCTACAACACCAGAATGGGCAGGTCCTTCGTAAGTGGGTAGGTACATTTTGGAATTGGGTTACGTTGCGCTAATAAGCCCCCCAGGTATGATCATGAAATTGATAGAAATGGATAGAGGACAC